ACACAGTAGAAATACAATGATACAACCCTGACAGGTATAATTAATTCACTTTAGAGCCGGATTAGGATCCCAGTTCTGCCACTTACAAGCACAGTGACCAGAAGCAAATTTCTTAGGTTCTCAAAGCCTCCTTTATAAAACAGATGATAGTAGTAGTACTCTATAGAGTTGTGCAAATGAAGTGAGTTTACATACACAGAGAACAGTGTGTGGGGCCCATGATAAGCATTCCCTGAGTATTAGCTATTATTATTCCTACCTTTCTGGAGGTCAACTGGCAATATGTATCAATTTTGTTTGGCTTAGTAACTCCATAATCATGCATAGGCCCAAATATTTATGTGCCTAAATAATCACAGTTGCATTATCTGTAACACACAACATATGAATTAACTGGAATCAATAAAAATACCTGGCAGTAGGGAAATGGTTAAGCAGACTGAGGTACCATAGAGTACCTGTCTTTACAAATCATATCCTTAATATATTTAACATGAGAATACTATATCTTTAAAAAGCGGTTTTAAAATAATATAGTACCTCAATTTTACTGGGTGCTCACAAGTGTATGAAATATTAAAAGAAAATGTATCAAAATGTAAATATTGCTTATTTCCAAGCAGTAGGGTTAGAGGTGATTTTAATTTCCTTATTTATAAATTTAGATACTTAAGTTTTCTATCATGAATATGCATTACTTTTATAATTAGAAAATCTACTAAAATGAATTCACTGCTTTGACAGATGAGTGAATAGTTTTCACAATACACTGATAGACACTAATTACAATTCCTAGTATACCTCAGTGATTTGTACTTACTAGTAACACCTTTGCTTTTTTGCTACATTTACAACGAATAAATGAGATGTTTTCAAACTTCCATTATTTGAAACTACAAATTGTCCAGTAACTTTTACAAAAATTTAACAAAATTATTAACAAACATCAGATAATTGATCTTCAATGAAAAAAAGAGCAAAAAAATTATCTGATAGTTGGGAGCAATTCAGAATACAAAGGGAGGGCATACTACTTTTTTTGTAGTCTTTACTATATAACCTTCATGAACTAGAAAAATGCTATTATTAGCTACATTTAATGAATGATGTACAAACAAATGAAACTTTCCCTATCTTGTCTCAATGAATTGACCTTATTTAAAAGGCCATATTCTCCATTATATTCTATACTCTAAAATAGTTTCAAATTCAATACTGGTACTAATAATTTTCCAGGCTCCCCTGAACTGCTATAGAGGAAGACAATGCAAAATATAAACACCTTATAGATAACTACTTTATGCTTTTGTTTTTTAACTTCTAAAGCCAGAGAGGTACTAACAGTTACAACAGAGGTACTAAGAGTTACAACATAGCTGGCTATCCTGAAGTTTCAGGATAAACAGAAAGAATCAGTCTAAGTGTAAGCAACACTTTAATGAATCTGTTATAACTTACTCCATAATTTCTCTATGTTAGAGAATGAAAAATAAATAAAGTTAATCCCCCCCCCCGTGTGATTTGCAAGACTATTATTCAGCTTTCAGCTTTCCTGTACATAGTTCAGGTAGTCCTAGACAACAATTACTTCCTCTGAGGAAGAGAAATCTATTATGAAGATCAAAGCCGTTCCCCCAAATCTAGCAAATTTTACTACAGCTAGGAAAAACAAAAACATTAACTGTCCCCAATTGTCATTAAACCCTTGTGTTCTTAGTAAGTACATCATAAATGATCTTAAAACTCATCTCTGTAACGTCATTCACTTTGTGGTTTCCATCTTACAATAACCTCCGTATCACTCACTGTCCACGCCGCACATGTGGAGCTCCATGAAACTCATCTAGGATTATGGAGTGGACATCACAGCCAAAGATTCTGCATCATGATTTAGCATGCTTCTACAATAACTGAAACCACTTCCAAATCACACTCTAAAGACAATCACTTTCACAGTATGACTCCTAAATTCTGTGAAGGCTAAGTCAAGAAAGGAACATCAGAGGAGAGAGAAGTATTTTCAAATATATCCCCTCCAATCCAATCTAGTGTTTCAAGTCCATGTGGACAAAACCCATGTAGAAAGTACAGATGGTGAGGAATGGCTTTTCAAAGATAAGGACAAAAGGTTCACCTGACAGCAACTAATCCTACATAGTGGAACAAAAGCTCAGGAGTGAGACATACGGCAACAGCAAGGAAAGAAGAGCAGGAACTTCTTGGGGCAGCACTCTGATCCAAATCCATATAGTTTCCAGGAGTTTCGCAACTACAGCCTCCTTCCTTAAAAAAAGTTTTGTGTCCCTTGCTGTTAATTTTGGGTACCAAAAAAAAAAAAAAAAAGATGTGAAATGACATATATTTTGTGCAGTGCAGAAAAGCTTACAAACTGGATAAACTCTAACTCCATCAACAATTTTTAAACCCAGAAAGTCCCTAATGTTTTCCATCTTAAAAAGAACTTATTTCTCTTAATCTTATGAAAAGTTCTACTTAAAATGCAAATTGTGCATAAAACTGTGGTATGGCATAACTTTTCTCTTGTGAACAACAATGAAGGCACACTTAGAATATATATTCAAAACACTAAAAAGAACCTGATTTTACTGTTGGGACAATATCCGGAATAGGCTTACACATCTATAGAATAACCTGTAAGTTCACTTACCACTCTATTTTGCAATGAAAACAAAACAATCTCAAAACATATTTTTACACTTTTTACACATCAATTTTATAAAACAGAATCTGAAATGAGCACCTGAGACCTTTGGTTAAACCACAGTTTTCTTAAACTACAGTACCTACAGTGAATGTCCAAAGATTAATGCAAAATACTACAGCTGTAAATTCTGTACACACGTACACACACAAATACTATCTTTCCTTTACAGAATACTACACATTTACTACTAGGAGACTGCTAACCTGGATGAGGAGAAATTTTGAAGGTCTGTAAGTACTCAAACATTTACCAAAGGGTAAGTCAGTGAAATATCATACCACTGAGGTATGTACCTATTCTTAATGAGGGCTCAAGGTACTAGGACTTAAAAATTTATTATTAAAAAATGTAATGATTCTTTTCAGTGGGAACTACTTAGGAAGATTAATACTTACAAAATAATGAAAAATTATGCTTTTAAAAATTAGCAAATATTAAACTGAGTATCAAACACTAGTCATTTACAAACTTCATTTAAAGATTTTAGAAAATCTTAGATGGCAACCAGTTATGGACAGAAAAAAATCCAAATTAGCTCACAACCATAAACACTACTTAAAAAAAAAATCAGCTTCAGCACTATGTGCTAATCTACCATATATTATACTTTCACAAAAAGAATAATGAAATTCTCTCCTGCCTCTTCCAATCCTGCACGACATCCAGAAAGAAGGGATCTTGATTCTTCAAGCTGTACTTATTCCATGCCCCTAGAACAGTGCCTGGCACACAGTACTCAGTATTTATTGAATGAATGAGGGAATGAAGACCAGGTAGGAACAGGTAAACCTGAAGAGATGAAAAGCTGATCGCACTTAAAGGTACAACTGGTTAATCACAATATTAACAAAAATGAGTTAATGTCAAATGTGAGCTATTCCACATTTTAGTAATAAATCTAAATGAAAAGAACTCAGACTTCAACGATAGAAAATTTTTCCTAGAAAACTTGTATAGAACTATTTAAAATTCTTAATTCTAAATTCTGCTAAAAACGTTCACAAGTGATTTAATAGCAAAGCTAACATTACTCAAAAATTCATAAACCCAGCTCACTTCATTATAAGGGCAAACACGCTAATCGATTTCATTAGTTCTCTTCTGTATTCATAAGTCTTCCCTCACTGAAAATTACACTTCAGAAAAAGCATGCTTAAAAAAGTGAATTCAAACCCCATCTTTCCCCCTTCTCAGTATATGTTCATGATTCTAAGACATTCAAGATCTTTCTCTAGTTTTACTGTTCTAAAATCTTCTGTACAATTGCTAGTTTGTCTATCTTGACGTATATCTGTTACTGTAGCGACGAGAGCAAGTATGTCCAGTTTCTGTTACAACAGTACATTTTAATTGCTTGCCATTGGCTATCTGAATCAGGTATGACATCCAAAGTTATACTCTCCATACTAAATACTGCAAAGATATGACTCAACGTAATGCTAAAAAAGAAAGTTTCTAAACAGAACACGTTTGCTGTCAATAAAACCTAGAGTAGAGCAACTCGGGGTAGTGACTACTCATTCTTTTGGGCTTCCATGGCTAAGAAATGGAGAAACAATTGTCCAATGTGTTCTCTCTTGCTTCCCCTTGACCCTCCTACGAGTGGCGAGGCAATTCCTGCACAACAGAGTTTGTAAAGTGCTTTGGAAGCCTGTGGATAAAAGAGACTATAAATACAGCTGATGATATTAGTACGTTACTATTGAGCACTACATGGAACCACTGTCACTGCGTCGGGGGTAGGTTGGTGGCAAAACCCTGAGAAGGAGGAAGAGAGGGGGAGAGGGCACTCCAGAAGGTCTGGCTGGCCATCTTTTAGGCTAGCTTCTATTTTAAACCGGAGCGAGACCACACGTGAAAAGTTACACACACGCCCCATACACGCAGGACTTCCATAGTCCTCGTCCCTGCAGGTCTGGTGGTCCCGGGAAGCGAGCAAGGAGAGAAGTACTAGGGGCTGGGCCTACACCCCAGGAACGTGCGAAGGTGCTGGGACCGGCCAAGGGGCCCCGGCCGGAGCCGACGCCCGCTGGTTGGCCGGAGGAGCAGCTCCCGGGCGGGTGCGCGGCGCCGGGCGCGGGGAACGGCCCGGGAGGGCGGCCGCGCCGGGGCCCCGCGCCGCCCCGTTGCCGGGAAGGCTCGCGCCCCGCGGCCGGCGGCGTGGGGGAGGGGAGGCCGGGCCTGCGGCCTGTTGGGGGAGTTCAGCCCGGGCCTCGCGTGCGGCTCTCCGCCGGGCCCCCAGCCCTGGGGTCCCAGGCGCCGAAGAGAGACTCACCGGAAAGGCCCGGATCCGCATCTTGGTGTCCTTCCGGCTGCCCGTGCCTTTGCTCAGATTCGACATGGTGCTCGTCCCCTCCCCGGCGGCGGCTTCGGGTCGCACTCCGGGGCGCCGGTGTCACATTTAAGGCGGGCGGGCAGGCGAGGGGCTACGCTGGGGGCGGCGGCGCGGCCCCCGGGCTAGGCTGGGGAGCTGGCCGGCCCCTGGGCGGCCGCGGCGGGGGCGGCGGCGGCTCGGGCTCGGCTGGGGGGCTGCGCTGGCGCGGCGGCTCCGCGGGGTCCCCCTCACGCCCGGCTCGGCTCCCTTTATCGCGCTCCTCCGCGATGGCGGCGGCGGCGGCGACGGACAAACATCTCACTGCGCAGGCCGAACGTCCTCCTCCTTCTCCTCCTCCGCCTCAGCGAGACGAGATCCGGCCCAGAGGGTGGAGGGGGGAGGAGGGAGGGAGGAGAGCCGGAGAGTGGAGAGATTGGGGGGAGGGGGGTGGGAGGACGGGAAGGGGAGGCGGGCGGCAGCGGCGGGGACGCTCAGATCTCGCGAGAAGAGAGCGAGCGCGCTGCCCCGGACTGGGCGGGGCGAAGCCTGGGAGCGGGAGGGGTCAACAGGGGAGGAGGGGAACGGGGAGTTGGGGAAGTGGGAGGGACCAGCGGGGCGGGGAGGTGGGAAGGGGGCGGGGCTGAAGGCGAGAGGAGAAAGCTGCCTTTTGAAAGGGAGCGGCGGAGACGGGGCTACGGGCGGAGGTGGTTGCTGATTGGTGGAGCGCGCGGGGGGGGGGGGGGGTGTCCTGGTCACGTGGACGGAGTGGGCGGGGGAAGTTCAGAGAGCCGGAGCGGGACAGTAGTGGGCTGGGCAGGGTTGGGCTGGGCCGGGCCGGGGCGTGCCGGGCAGCATAGGGCTCGGCCAGGCGGGAGGAGGGTAGTCTCGGGGAGGAGCTTAGGGGTGCTGGGTGGTAACTAAGTCCTAGAACTGGTTCTGTGCTTTTCTAGGGCATGTGAGCTAGGGAGGGGTACTTGAGCAGAAGCCAGAAAGAGAGTTTGTGCAGGACTTACCTGCAGTTGTTAGAAATTAGAGTGCTGTATGTATACAAGGTATTCGGATTGGATGTACACACCCCACCTCTCGGAACTGAGGGGTGAAGATGTTAATCTAGAAAATTTCCTTAAACGCAGAAACCCCAAGACCTCTTGATTCATTGATCTTTCCTAGGGCAACCCAGAACTTAATAGCGTTGAAATCTCTTTTTCGTCATCATTGAAGTAAAATGACAGCATCTTTCATGTAGTGCAATATTTTGGTAAGTGGTGATAAATAGACGATAGGGTGATAGAAACCCGTCTTTAACTTGCCAAATCATTTTTACCATTACCAAGAGTATTGTCGGTTTTGAAAGCCAAAATTGTCTTTGATTCCCGTTTGCTGTAATTTTGGAAGGTTTTTGTTTTTGTTTTGTTTTTTCTTTGTCATTGTGAAAAGGTCTGGTTGGATTCATCAGTTTTGCTTTTTATCTTTCTATTTATTAGGAATTTTACTTCCTAATTTACCTCTTTGCCGAATTGATATTTTATTTGGACTTCGGGCACTGCAAAGAAATATGTGAGTTCCCACTAAAGTCTGTAATCTTTTAAATAAGAACCTATTGTTGGGATGGATATCTACATGTGGAAGCTGAGGTTTTAATACTTTATTTACTTACTGTAATACTTTTTAAAACTTTCTTAAAAGCTAGGGTGTTAATACTTTTTCATAGCATTTGGGAGCTGGAGTTTTATACTCTTTAAGTAAACAAATATTCTTTTTGTGTGTGTACGATAAGGTTGATTTTGCCCTAAGTTAACTTAATCATGATGACTGAATTTAGGAATGTTGTGTTTCATCTCCTATTTGGTTGAATACTTTGTAAATGTATTTTCTTGCTTTGTTTTCTGGTATTTGCTAATTAAAACTTGAGTTTAAGAAATAAGGATATTGCTTGAAGCAATACCTCTGTAAATACTGAAGCTAAAAATAGGTCACCAAGAACTGGGTTGATAAGGTAAGATTGGGAAGGGCTGTGATTTTTAAGTACATGATAGTAGGAGTCTTGGATAGGAGTTTATAATCTGTATGCTGATTGGACCTCCATTTCCAAAATCATTAGAATATCATGACAAGTGATGTTTTTCTATTGGTTGCATTGTGCTATGGCCCAGTTTCTTTGTAATATAAGACCATAAGTTCTAGAGCCAGCTCTATCAGTTTACCAGCTGGATTTTGTGTCTTTTGAGGCAAGAGGTCTCATCTGTAAAATGGGGGAAAAAATACTACTACTTTCTTGGGATACTATGAAATTTAGATGATTAACACATTTTTAAAAGCCCTGAGAGCAGTGCTCAGCACAGAGTAGCCACTCAACACTGGTTGGCTATTATTATCATGGGTAATTAAGGCCAAGGGTATACTATCTTCCTTCATTGAATATGTATTTTTTTAAAATACTTGTTATCAAATGAATCTTATTTTAAAACTAAGTCAGTCTTGGATTTCACAAACCAATAAAATACTTTTCAAAAAGCTGGGGAACTAATACAGGTTTGGCAACTTTATTTTGGCAAGAAAGGGCATTAGAAAAGAATAATTAGCATAGACTAGCCTCATTATCTTATTTTTTTTAGAAAGTATTTTAATCACGGAAACAAGAGAAGGTAATTTTTTGATAAAGGACAGTTTTTTTAATTGATTAATTTAGCCTTATGAAAATACAGTGAGCTGATTTTTCTTATTTCATTGTGAACCTGAGAAAAGATCATGAGCCAACATTTAGGAGCCTTCTGAATTAAGGCATATTTCCATGTAATTGTGAAGCATATTATCACCCTTTAATTTACAGTGTTTGTTTTGTGAACCCAGATTTTTTCATATGCTGGTTTTTGCTCAAGCGAAATTTGGCTGCATCTTAAAAAAATCACAGTCAACTACATCTTTTGTTAGGCTTTTAACCACAATAGGCCAAGAAAAACGCTTCAAAATGAATTTGCCACTAACATTAAGAAATCCACTGCTAATTTATTAGTTCATTTACTCAAGAACTGTTTAGTTAAGGCTGCTAGATGTCAGTCACTAAGGGGAATAAGACACATGAGACCTGCCATCACTGAACAGAGTCCTTTTCACATCTCAAAATTTGGAAACCACAGACCCAAGTTAGATTTGGCAACAACTTTCTATACACTCCAGTCCAGAAATCAGAGATTTTCCTGCTAGAAAACCAGCAGTCTCAAAATGTGTATGAAATATTCTCTAAAGCAGCAGACTATTCTTCTGTACCTAGTGGTATTCCGTGATTTCCAAGTAGCAAATGAACTTTCAAAATACTAGTTTTCCTGCCAACTGCCACCTGATGTAGCAGAGAAAGCAGGGCTGCAGTAGGAACTCACTAGATGCTGCATGCCTGCCGGTTGGTATTCTTACTTATGCTGACCATGTCCTGACACAGGAGAACAGTGGCCCCATTTCCATTTATTTGTATGGAACACGTGCAGGCAGAGAAGCCAGGAGGCTGAGTGGGCCAGCGCCTTTTCTACCTCCCAGTCTAAAATGGACGGTACAGACTGTGAGAAGCCGGCAAAAGGGAACAGCCTCTTCTTGACCATGAGTTTCTAGGTATCCAGGATACCAACCCACTTTAATCACTGATTTGATTGTGTAGATACTGGTTATTAAGACAGCTGACAGCCAACCAATTCAATTAGACCTGTTCGATGGTTTTGGAGAGACAAAGACTGTGTTAGGGAAAGATGTATGTTTTTCAAATTGGAAGGAGAAGATTTATAGATATTATCACTTCTTTGAAAATAAGGGCTAGATCTTCTACTTTCTTCCTTGTCTCCACTAGGCAACCAGTACGTATTGTAAGCCATTAGATTTATACATATCTAGAGTAGTAGCATTCCTATGTGCCTTATAAGAGGACATGCTGTAAGAGTAGCCCATTGAGAATGTAACCCCAGACGTTTATATATATGATTTTCTGTATGTACCTTTTCTACTTTGTCTTTACTATTTACCATATATATACATGTGTGTGTATATATATATATATACACGCACATATATGTGTGTGTGTGTGTATATATATATATATAAAGAAGCCTATAAGATGTGAGGGCATATGAGAAAAGCTACATCTTGAATTAAAGAAAATTTTTAAATGTCTGTTATATCATAAAAACCCATTTCCATTTTTCACCACATTGTCATGCTAAATAAAATCATCTCACTGGCAGCTCTGGAAACTGTAGTTAGCCTGGACAGTATTCTGTCTTCCACATTTATCAAGTAAGTCAATATTTTGGAATAAAAATATCTATCTATACAGCCAATTGAATTTAACAGAATATAAATTCTCAATTTAAAATTATAGGCATTGCATGCAATTTTGTGATTTTATTTTGAAGAAAAAGAATTTATTTTGAGGAAAAAATTTCCTCTTACTGATGGCAGTAACTGTGTCAAGAAACCTCCAGGGGACAATTATGAATATGTATTGCTTTCCTTCGTTATAAGTAAAGTATATGTTGAATTTTATAACTCTTCAGCTCTGTCTTTGTAAAGTAAGTTAATTTTGGAGTTGAGATAAAGCAAGGTTCCAAAGACGCTATAAAAGTAAATAGTTTAAATTTTATGCTAGATATAGTAATTGTGTGAATTATAAATACAACAGCCAACAGTCAGCAAATGTAATAAAATAACATTCTCTTCAAACTTGTTCAATAAGCTGTGTATCTTTAGTTCATAGTTAAATGGTATTCTTTACTATATCTTTACTAAAAATCAAAATCTGGATAAAGCAAAGGAGTGCTGGTAGAGGTGAAGAATAACCTTTAAAAGACTAAAAAATAAAAATTGTTTGGGCCAATCTCTAGCTGCATTGATATAATGAATTAATTCCTAGAGAGAAGTTGATTTGAAGTTACTGGTTTGTGAATCTTCTAGTTCTTGAGTGGCTGGTTTTTGGGCGGAAGACCCATTGATTGGGCAGTTTTGAGAAAGGAATGCGCCTGATCTCGTCTGATCTCGGAAGCTAAGTAGGGTCGGGCCTGGTTAATAGTTGGATGGTAGAAAGGGACAACGTGAACGCCTTGTTAAGATGAAACCAGCAACTTTAATCCAGTTGAAAATTTTTTAAAGAATTTCCGTTAATGAGACCTTTAGAAGTAATACCTCTCTACTACTGAAATCCTTGTTGAGGAGTGCCTATCTCTCCATGAACCTTCATCTTTGGGGAAAAGTTGCTTTAGATGCCTGGATTGTTAAGTTATTTCCACATTTTTAAAATTAATTATTGTGATGATATTTGTCCTTTTTTGGGGGGGTGCTTTCTCTTACCA